TCTGTGTCTGCTTTAAATTCATTGATCATGTCTTGCACTATTAGCACAATCACTATTGTTATCTAAGAAATTATTTCTGGTTTCATTTTTTTAGATCATCTTTCCTTGCCAGTTCATGTAGTCCAGGTGTTTGAGTGTCAGACTGTTCCATCTTGTTACCCTTTGGGGTTACCTTAGTTAATCTGGAAATCTGATTTTGAGACTTATTTACATGTCTTCTCATTTCAATAGATGCAGCCTGCTGCTCCTTTGCTGAGGCAACGTTTTGCTCACACAGTGGTCTTCAATTCTCAGCAAGCCATGGAGTGACATTTTCTCTGTTCCTTACCAGTTCAGAGTGATAGTCTTCTGGATCCCTGCATTGTCCTGTTGTTTGGGCAGGATTCTGGCTGGGGATTGCTTACATGTGGTATGGTATCCAGGTGTGCCTCTGGTTAGTACCTGCTCTCCTATGTAGCTGTTATCTGGGAGGGCCTTTGGCTGGGGGCTGAGCACCTTAGTTGCTGGTGTGTGGGCAGTCTTCTGGTTAGGTTTTGTGTACCCTTAAGTAATGGTATCAGGGTGGGCCTCTGTTTGTTGTCTGTTAGCCTATGCAGCTCTTTTCCTGAATGAAGGGTCTTTGGCTGGAGCTTGTGGATCCCAAGGCAGTGTTGGGGTGGGCAGTGCCCTGGCTGGCAGTGCCTGCAGCCACACTGCTGTGGTCCACACCCCCTCTCCTGCATTTTCTGCTGATTATTCAATGGAGTGTGTTTGCCTTAAGGCTGTGCTTACTCCCACAGCTCTTAGTATGTTCCCTTCTCTGGAACTTCCCTTTACTGCTCTCTTCTACTGGATTTATGGCCTGTGGTCTTATGAGGTACCTCCCTTGCTCCAGAGGCCCCCCACCGTCCATACAACCCAGGATGTGGCAACTGTCCAAGCCACGGCACATCCCTGATCATGTTGACAGATGAGGAAAACAAATTGACCACTGAGGTCTATGCTGGAAGTAGGTGATGAGGGGAGCCAAACAGTTCACTGGACTTAACGTTTGAAGCAATTTCAAACCCATCTCCCTCAGAAAACCACACCACCAGCCTGGCCTTTCACCAGAGGGTGAGACCACTCTTTCCCTTGTAACCTGAGGTTGCTTAAACTGTTTAAACTTCTCAAGGCATCTGCAACTTGCCCACCCAATCTCTGAGTCTATCTTATGGTGTTCTATCACTCATTCACTGTGGTAGGTGACCCCAGAGACCCTGAAGTGTAGTTATTCTGTGACTTCTGATTTCTGGAGTAGCTCAGTCTTAAATAATAGACCTCTTCCCAAATGGCTTCTGATTATATCACTTCCAAGTATGGTGGACATTGAATTTCTTCTCCACTTCTAGCCTACCATACAGGAGTCACTTAGACAGTAAAGCTTGTATTTGGGCTTTTCTTTGGTCCATTGTTTCTCCTAGGGGCTGTCAACCTTCACTGTGTTTACCTTCTATTTGTAGAAATGGACCCTCTCCTGAGAGCCAGGGTTAGAATTCTGGGCTGCTTTATTTCTCTGCGTTGTTTTCAGTTTCTCTGATTTCTCATTTTTTTCCTGTTGACTCTTTCTTGATTTCCAGAATGCTACTTATTTTTCTCTTACCATAGTTTTTGTTTTCTAGGTGTCTCAATTCAAGGTTCTAGAGAGAGTCTACATCCACAATTTCATTTTTTAAATATTCAAATCTATGATTTTATCATAAAAATCAAGAGTGTTATTTATACTGATGTCTTCCTGTTTAAAAATAGTATACTATATTGGTATAGTGTTTAAAAGTCCCAACCCATTTCCTCAAACCTCCCATCTGTGAATCTTGGTTATTCTTTGTACTTTGTTTTAGAAAAATTCAGTGACATGTATTATATCATCAAGAGTTATTTAGAATTAATTGTTTGTTTAGGGTATTTTGATTCTCACTTCAAGTTATTTCCTCACATATTGTTTTATCTCTATTAAATTGTCATTTGCTGAGGTTGACCTTTGTGCATTTTTGAGGAAATTAGATGGCATAATTTCTAAGACCCTCTTACTTAAGTATGTCTTTCTTTTATCAACTCAAGTGAGCAGAAGTTTGAACTCTTGCTTTACAAGTATTTTGTTTGCTCCCTCTCTTAAAACTGTGAACACTGAGAACACATGACTCTGGCAGGCTCTGACTTTTAATATTAAAAAGGAAAGATTTGAGTCTACACTGCCTTTTCTCCATTTATTGGCAACTCTTCTGTTTTTTCTGTTTAGTTATAACATTTTTCTTATATCCTTAAAATTAGAATGTTTCTTGTTCTCTTCAATAATTTTGGCAAATAGTGAGGACATTTAGGACATAGATTTAGATCTTTCATGGCCCATGAAAATTTCCTTCTGTTTATGCTTTTTTAAAAATTCTGTTCCTTGTTCATTATTTCACCAATTTTCTGTATTGAATCTCCACCTTTCTTTAGCATATGTGTCCTTCTTCCTCTGTTTTTTTTTTTTCCTACTCCAAATCACCCATGGCAAATTAGAATACCTCTGATATCTCTGTTCTGTACAATGAACTCTTAAAGGATCATTGAAAAACAATTGAAAACGTCCAGGTTGCCTCAGGGAGCATTTGCACCGGTGGGAGTTGAGGAACATTTTCACCTGCCCCACTCTTTTTTTTTGTTTCTTCAGCTTTAATTGAGTTTATTGGTACATTTTAGGGATGCAGTACAGTTACATTCATTGTTGGGATCTTGTACCTCTACATGACAAGTCTTGATTCTCATTTTTTCCCCTTACCCCTGCCCTCCCTTCACCTCCTCCTCCCCAACTACACTTTATTTTCATCTTTTCATTATCTCACATTTGTTCTTTTCCCTTATTACCCTTCCCCTACCCATCCCACCTTCCCTACACCTTTAGCTCCTTTCTTCCCATTTCTAAATGTCACCTGCCCCACTCTTATCAGTCACCAAGACACAAGGCTCCAGTGTGAATGAAAATAGCTACTTTTCATTAATGCAAAATCCCAAATTCTAAGTTTTGAAGATATTCAATCTATATGATTTTTATCATATTACTAAGGAGAAAAGTGAAAAACCTTAATAACTACAAAAATATACACATGATTAGAAAATTCAAGCCTTTTAATGAGACCAAAGAAACAAACAAAAAACTTCCCTCTTTACACATTCCCATCCCTGACACTGGCAGCCACTTCCAGAAAAGATAAATTGTTCAGTAACCATGCTATAGCCTATATATGCACATATATACATAATATAGACTGTATGTACACGCATGCACATATGCACACACATCTATTTTTAAAACATTTATCTAAAAGATCTCACTGGGTATGAATTACCCATACTTATTTTACTTATCTCCAGAGGAGACAGTTCTGTATCAGTTCCTGTCAGCCCCTTTCCTTTCAATGACTGCATTTTATTACATGGGTCAGATAGTGAATTTATGATATTTCCAGGCTAAACAGCCTCTGTCACAGATATTCAGCTCTTTCGTGTAGCAGGAAAGCAGCCATTATACAATAGATGGACAAGTGCGTGTGGCTATATCCCAGTAGAACTTTAATTATGGACACTAAATTCTGATTTTTTTTTTTTTGTAATTTTCACATGTCGTCAAAGAGCATCCTTTTCTCCCACCAATTTAAAAATTGCTGTTAGGCTGTATGAAAGCAGGCCAGATTTGGCTTGCAGGCCAGAGTTTGATAACCTTTGATTTAGTGGATAATAATTCCAATTAAGTGATAAACACTTCTTTTAGGTATTTTGTGCAATATCATATATTTTCAAGAAATCTTAGAAGCTAGCATGTTTGTATGTTAAATATGAAAAAAATATTAAAGCTTCTCACACATTGCAAAGAGTTTTCAAGATAACCTGAAATTAGGCTCTTAAACATTGCAACAATTTATTACCACTCCACAGTCACAGAGGAGAAGCTCAATAAAGATTTAGGGAATAAATTGGTAAAAAAAATCTGTATTATAAAAGAAATCACATTAGAAATGATGTCCACATGTTGGTATATTTATCACTAAATATTTTTATAAACCTTTGTAATCATGGTTTGCAACCAGTCATAGCACAGAACTTGAATTTTTATTGAGAGGCAACAGTAGGGTGTATCTTTAATGAAGAATTCAAATTTCTGCTGTTTATAAGATTTTGAAATGAGCTGGGCATGGTGTTGCAAGCCTGTAATCCCAGCACTCTGGGAGGCTGAGGCAGGAGTATCCCATAGTTAAGCCCATCCTGGGCAATTGAGTGACTTAGTGAAACTCCGTCTCAAAAATAAACCAATAAAAAAGGGCTGGGAATGTGGAGATGTAGTTCAATGGAAAGTCCCTGGGTCCAATCCCCAGTACCAAAAATAAAAAGCGTTAACCAGCAGCAGCCTGAGTTCCCTGGGATGAAGCTGCTGTTGTACCTGTGTTGGCTGTGTGTGCTGTATGTGACCCCCTCTCTGTCCTGACTCCCTAGGTTCATCCCAGAGCCCTGGTCAACCTGCAGCTCCACATGCGGCCAGGGCGTGCAGGTGCGCACTGTGAGGTGCCGCGTGCTCCTGGCCTTTGCGCGCACTGAGGCTGAACTACCTGAGGATGAGTGTGAGGGCCCCCAGCCACCCACCGAGCGGCCTTGCCTGCTTCAGGCCTGTCCTGGGAGCCCTGAACCCCGAGAGCCCAACAGCTCCATCCCCCAGCTGGACA